GCGGGGGGGTTGCTGCTCCCATGGTTTGGAGCCGTGGGCTGGTGGGTTGCCACGGCTGGGGGCTGGGGCCACGGGCAGGAGGGTTGCTGCTTGGAGCTGTGGGGGGAGGGTTGCTGCCACCGAGGGTTGGGGTTGAAGGGATTATTATTAAAACAGAGAAGGGAAAGGTACCAAAACCCCCGAAATGCTCAGAATTGAGACCAGATCCTGGATGTGAAGCCCTCTTGCTGTGTATGCCGGATGAATGGATCCCTGCCCAAGAAGCCACGCTGTAAGCAAGTCTGGAGCTAAGAGCTGAGCCGTGTCTGTTACTGCAGCCTTGAAGCGTAGGAGGTACTGTGTGTAGTGAGCTGGAGGAGAGAAGGCAGGACTATTGCAGTTTGATTGTATCTCTGCCCAACTCTGCTCATGACTTCCTGTGTGACTTCAGGCAATTTAGTGACTCCTCTGTGCCTAAATTGCCCTGTCTATAATACAGGGACATTGTGCCTCAAAAGCATCGCAGAAGTGATGCCTTGTTCATTTAAGGCGGGCAAAGCGGCTTGAGACAACAGCGCAAAGGAGAAACAATTATCTGCTATATTGAGTGCTTAATCTCATTTTAGAAAGTTGAACTATGGGCTCCCCACCCCCCATTGCCAAAGCACGAGATATAGTTCCATCCCACCCCCACCCTTAGCTTCACGCCCCCGTGCCTGGAGCTGCAAGGAAGGAGAAGCACAGAGCTGCTCCTTTGGCAGGGGGATTCTCCCGTGGGTGGGTGCCACAGCGGCACACCTCCGAACAAGGGCATTGTTGGGGCACAAGACAAAGCTCACTCCACTGGTGGATGGAAAATCTTAGAGGGAACCCTGGTGCTGATGTCCCCATCGTCCAGACAGGGCACTGAAGCAGAGAGATACTCCATGACCTGCCCACCATCACACAAGACATCCGGAGCAAAGCAGGAAACAGAACTTAGGTGTCCCCAGTCCCAGACGAATGTGCTAATAACTGGACTGTGCCATCCGCTATAGGACACGCGTGGAATATGCTTAACTAGGCATTTCTACAGCACTTACACCATCGAAGCAGTGAACTGTACTATGAGCCACTGGACTGGGTTCTGATCTCCCTTTAGCTGGAGTAAACCAGGAGTAACTTAAACAGAGTCGCTCCAGATTTAAACCCATGCCACTAGAATCAGAATCTGACCCGAAACGTGTGCTACATCACATGCCCTCCAACCCCATTCGTTCAAGTGGCATTGCTCAACGAGGGGGTAATTTGACCCGTTTGTGGTAACACGATTACTTCAGAACACACTGTCATCCACTCATTTGCCCAGGAGTGTCAAAAAACAATTTCATCCATTCCTGAGAGCTCGCAGGAGAATCTCTTGGTCTCTTAACCATCCTGAGCCAACACATTTTCATTCAAGTTTCTTGCGGGTAGGAGACTGTGAAATTATTGGTGGCTCCTAACTAGTAGATGAAATTAACAGAATACCTGTCTCTTTGACATCCAACGCTGCCTTCTCCACGTTACAGGGAAGTGCTGGGCAAGGTCTGAACGGAGAAGCAAAAAGTCACTTCTTAGTCCTTGTCTGAGTGAAAACAAACAGGTGAGTGGGGCTGGTACCTAGAAGGAAGAAGCCTCCAAAGGAAACATGACTCATCTGCCTTTCTTTTCAGCTTCTCCTCTCAGCACTTGTAGCCAACCAGGCTGGGGCTACACAGTCACCTGGTTTTTGAGGGCACGATCAAAAGTAAAACATTCACTTCCTGCCAGAACAAAAGAAAAGGACTGAGACTTAGTGAAAAGATGATTTAATGCCACAATGTGTGGCCGAGGGAGGCAGCCAAACAAAGATCAGAGCATCTCTCTGCCCCAGGGCTGTACCTGGCGGACAGTCCAGGTCCCATTACAGCTGAATGGGAGTTTTGCATTTGCGTTCAATGGGTCAGGTGTTTGACTCTTTCGCTCAGTCCCTCAAAGGCGTTCAGACTCTCAAAACCCATTGATGCCTTTGAGGAGCTGGGCCAGTTGTCCCTGTAAGCTGCACGCTTGAGCAGTCACCGAGGAGAGATTGCAATGCTGCCTAGCTGATTAGCAGAGCACCCACAGCCGGCAGCATGTGTTTTTGCTGGTGGTGCACATCCACATGTGCCTCAGTGCACCGCACAAAATTTATTCCACACATGCATGGAAAAAAATTAGAGGGAACATTGAGCTGGGCCTCAGTGTATGTAAATGAGGGGGAACACCACTTGCTTCTCTGTCATCCATTGGCACCAGCACAGAATTTGTTCTATGTCACACACACACACACACACACACACACACACACACACACACACACACACACACACACCCTGGGATCATTGCAGGCAGGCTCCCTGAATTTGTCTGTGTCTGCTTCCCCTTTGGTTTGAGCCATTTTCATCCCGCCATTACCAGCAAGGGCCTCTTTAGTGCAGTGGCTGCTGCTGAAGGTATGGGGAGAACGCTGCTCCCCTCCTTCCAGCCGGCTCTAGGGGTAGGGTTGCTGCATGTTCCGCCAGCTTTCAGCTTGCTGCTGGTGGCACCTGAGGAAGTTGTCCTTGCATCATGATGGGCAGGGTGGGACCTCGCCCATCCATCAGTTGCCGGGGCAGCAGTGGACTGGGGGAGGGTTACAAGACCTAGGTGAGGAAATTACCTGCCTGTGGGGAGATGAGTGTGATTGCTGGGTCCAATGAGGCCTTGTGTAGGCCTGGTGTCTGCCGCCGCTGCTGGCTTTCCCGGTGCCTGTTCTGAACGCCACCTTCTCCAGCCTCTGGACTTTCCCTGCCGCTTGGAGTCCAGGTTGGCCTGCGGGAGCTGCTTGTCCAGTTTCTGGGCAGACGCCCACGAACATTTCTAAGCAGTGTCACCCGCAAAAGGTTTCCCTACTGGCTGGTCCCTCCCTCACAAGACCAGTCCTCGGGCCAGGCAGCAGCATTCCAGGTCTGTGAGGGTGGATTGTAGAGCCGTGATTCTCCAGGCATTGTAGTAGGCCTCACTGCAAGCCACGGATCCCCCAGAGCTAAATGCCACGGATGGAGACCATGGACAGTCCCGTGCAGTGCTAAAAGGAACAGTTGCCCTGCAAGGCCCATGTAAAGAGGCTTTGCTTTAATGTGTGGTCAGTCCCACTCAGAAACCTCTGACCATATTTCCGCCTGCGGCCTTAAGCTGACCCCTCCCATAGCACCAGGGCCAAGCTCTAGCCACACCCAGGTGAATGAATAGCAGGTAGGGTAGGAATCACCATGGAAAGTATGGGTAAGAGCCGGATATTCAGAAGTACTGAGCTCCCTACAGCTCCCGCGGATAAAGGAGAGAGCAGGGGGCAGGCAGAGCACTTTGAAAATTTGGCCCAAAGGCTCCGCTCCTCAAAGGCATAAAGCACTGACACCCATTGATTTCAATTGCCTCTGGGCCAGTCCCCCAGCTGCCACCATTGGAGTCAGTGGCTTCAGTAGGTTTGCTTGATGACTTTAGGTTGGTCCTGGTGCTCTCCTTGCAGTGGTTTGCCATAGACTCAGATAACTTAATCCCTTCCCCAGGGAGATACATCTCTCTGGGCTATCTGAAGAGTTGGCCTTGAACCCTGTAAGAGCCCATGTGTCCTGTGGAGAGATGCAGGCTGGTCTGCCCACCCCGGGCCTTGCCATGAGAAATCAGGTCAAATGATTGTTTTCTGGCTCTGAATACACGTTGCAAATCGAAAAAGCCCTGCGTTTTGTGGCTGGCTGCAGTGGTTTCCGCCACATCAAAATGCAAACGAGCAAAAGCGACAACAACTCAGAACTGACTGTACATTGTGTCGGTTATGAAACACATAATGTTCCAGCAAGCGCCTTGCTCCTCCCCTTGATCTACTGGACGTCAGCTTACCCTGAGGAGCAAATCCACATGTGATGTCAAGCAGTGCCATTTACGACAGGGCACGGAGGGCAGCAGACTCCTCCAGACCTTGGTTTGCCCCCCTCCCGACTTTTCTTAGGTCTACATGCTCCATTTTTGCCCTCTTCCTGCCTTGAAGGATGTCATGTAATCACATATAAGATAATTGAATTTACCAAGCTATATAATCACTTAGGCTATATCTTCACTACGTGGAAGATTGACACTGCTACGATCGATCTTCCAGGGTTTGATTTAGTGGGACTAGTAAAGACCCACCATATCTTCACTACGTGGATGATTGACACTGCTATGATCGATCTTCCAGGGTTTGATTTAGTGGGACTAGTAAAGACCCACTAAATTGAACTCAGAGCGTACCCCCATCAGCACCAAGATTCCTGCTCCTCATGAGAAGTAAGGAAAGCCGATGCTCCTGTCACCCTCCCATTGTGTGGACAGCTCGGAAACATGATTTAAGATACATGGACTCTTAATTCAACCCTCTGCTATAGTGTAGACCAGGCCTTAGAGTTTTCTTCCCAAATATATATGTAGAGCTGATGGACCCTGGTTGTCAGGCAAGAGGAATTGAACCTGTAACCTCAGGGGTTAAAGCCATGGGTCTCTACCACATGAGCTAAAAGCCAGCTACCTCTCAACTAGGGCTGTAGAGCAGACTTCACTCTCCCTTCTCAGTGGTCTCTGGATTACAGATTTCCCTCAGCTGAAGGAGCAGGTCCCAAGCTTCTGAGACCTCCCAGCAGTTCATCCCCGATAAGCCCCCACTTGTAAAGCCGACAGACCCTGGTCATCGGCAGGGTGGGACTGAACCTGCAAAGCATGAGCGAAAAGCCAGCTAGTTCTCAGCTACACACCAGAGTTCCCTGTAAGCTGTGCACTTGGGCAGCCACCTAGGAGAGATTCAAATGTCGGCCAGCTGATTCGCAGAGCCAGCAGCATGGTGGCAGGCCCAAGGACAGGGTCTGAAAGGTGGCAGTGGTGCTGGGGCCTTGTGATTCAAAGGGGACTGGGGCTCCCGGCCACCACTGCTAGAGCCCCCAGGCCCTTTAAATTGCTGCTGGAGCGCCATTCCATACGGCTCTGTGGCTGGGGGGCAGGCAGTGTGGAGGGCTGGCTGTTTCCAGTCCTACCCCTAACACACAAGGCTCTGCCCCTTTTGGGAGGGTGGAGCCAATTCCACCCCTGCTCTACACACACACACCTTCCCTAGGGACCCACAGAAGCTGTTGGCTCCCCTGACTGGTGGTGCACATTTGCCCATATCTTGGTGCACATAACAAAATTTATTCCTGGTGGTGCACATTTGCCCATATTTTGGTGCACATAACAAAATTTATTCTGTCCCTGGATGGAAAAAATTAGAGGGAACACTGCTTCACACCTGCACAGCCTAGACCCACGCCACAGTGGCCCAGCCTCTATTTCCCCCCAAAATTCCAGCTGATCCACCCAGCATCTTCCAGGCTGAGGCGACGCAGCCCACTAGCTATGAATGTCACATCAATGTTCTGCCACTTCTAGGGCAATCAGAGTCCAAACTGCATTTAAAAAAACCAAAAAAAAAAAAAAATTCTCTTCCCACAGGCAGGCTACAATTAATAGCCATCTCCCCCTCTTCTCACGTCAGCTCTCCCACCCTGTCAGGCAGCCATGGAACTGGGTTCTCCCTTGGTAGCTCTTCCCTCAAACCTGACACCTGCCCCGGTGTCATGGGGCAGGGCTGATTGGGCTCCCTTTGACCCTTTCCTGACTTGTGTGGGTCTGTTAATCTCATCGCCAAGACAGACCAACCAACCCAACCATGAACAAGGGGAAACTCGGCTGTTTGTTTATTTTCTAAAGCAGGGGCCATTCGACACATTAAGACACAATCCCGCGGGAACAGCAGCACCTCTCAAGCAGCCGCAAAGCCATCCCTTTGGAGCAATAATACCATCCATGCCTGCAGCTTCGCTGATACACCCACCCCTCAAAGCAGGAGGAGATGCCCCCGGTAGACTGCTTGTGGAAGATCAAATACCAGGGCTCTGTAATTGAGCAGAGAAAGGCATAAGGAGAGCCAATGGCTACCAGCTGAAGCCAGACAAATTAAATGAGGCACAATTTTCTAATGGTGGGGTGATTAACAGACTACTACAGGAAGGGATGGATTCTCCATCTCTGATGGCTTAAGACGGATGCCTCCATGGAAGATGCTTCAGCCAAACGCAAGTTACCGGCTCAGTGCAGGTGTGACTGAGTAACATGCGCTGATCTGTGTTATACAGAAGAGCAGAGAAGATAATTCAGTGGTACAGGTTGTACCTCTATCAACTGGAGCTCTCTGGGCTGGCAACATCCCTGGGCTGGAAGGACCACAGATATCCCAGGATCAGAGAGTCCAA